TGTATATAATTTATATACATATTATATTATAAACAAGAATCTTTTCAACTTTTTAATAAATTTACTTTCAGAGTTTCAGTGTTTAAATTTTCTTCGATTACTTGTCCATTCGGTGCTTTTACAGTTTTATACTGCAATATTTCTGAACATTTGTTTAGAAAACTTTAGAATCTTCAAATTATAAAATATTTTTTAAATAAACACCTAGCGAAAAAGTATATTTTGAAAGCAGCTATTATTTCTAGCATTCTTGATGGTATAAAATTATTTTTGCTGTTGCTGCTTATATTTACACTAGTGTTGCCAGACGTCCGGCTTTTACAACTAAAAAAATTTCTTTTTACAGGTTTGGCTAAGTAAAATAATTTCTTTTTACAGGTATAGCGCTGTATTCTCCTCCGTAAAAGCCGTACGTCTGGCAACCCTATTTACACAGAGTTATTTTATTAGTTTTAATTTAAAAGTTTATTTACGACGCGTTATTTTTAAAAGACGTACAATCGTTTTACCCATTGCACAGCAGGCCAGATGGTGGACGAAACCGGAAAAAAAAATCTCTTTATATATAAATATTTATTATACTAACCATATAATAAAACATATTCTCAATATTTAATTGCACGATTATAAATTTTTTTTTTGAGAATATTAGCATTATAAAAAATCAATTGCGGTTCCATTTAAAAAAAAGCTTTTAATTTTCATGCACAGAAATAGTAAAAAGTTACTTTTAAAATACTATGTGTGTGTGTATATATATATATATATATATATATATATATATATATGTATATATATATATATATATATATATATATATATATATATATATATATATATATATATATACTCTTGCATGGTAGTTAAAAAGAGTTTTGTAGTTTTAAAGAGCGCGTTAATAAACCAGACCAGAAAAAGTTAAAAAACGTAAATTTTTTTTTTTTTTATAAATGATAGACTGCCTGCCCAAACCAAACCCTCAGTCTTTGTAGCAGCACTCCCTTGCGAGTCAGGCTATTTGTCAGTCGTTGTAGCAACACTCCCTTGCGAGTGAGGCTATTTGTCAGTCGATGTAGCAGCACTCCCTTGCGAGTCAGGCTATTTGTCAGTCGATGTAGCAGCACTCCCTTGCGAGTCAGGCTATTTGTCAGTCGATGTAGCAGCACTCCTTTGCGAGTCAGGCTATAAGATAGTCGATGTAGCAACATTTACGCATGTTTAAAAAATGTTTTATAATAAAACAAAAACAAAAACACTATTTATTAAAAAAAATTTTCTAGTCGTTATTATTGCGGTTTTTTAAAAAATTTTTAAAAAACAATAAAATTTAATGTACTTCCGCATTAATTTAATAGCTTTGACATTTCGATGACAATCAAAAACAGCTTAAGAGACGAGGTAATTAAAATTGTAGTCGAAAGAGACTTTTTTTACATTAAAACGCTCTTTCGACTACACTATAAGGATATATACATATATATATATATATATATATATATATATATATATATATATATATATATATATATATATATATATATATACATTTATATATATATATATATATATATATATATATATATATATATATATATATATATATATATATATATATATATATATATATATATATAATGTATATATATATATATATATATATATATATATATATATATATATATATATATATATATATATATATATATATATATATATATATATATATATATATATATATATATATATATATATATATATATATATATATATAATTTAACAGTATAACTTTATGAAAAAAATATTAAGTAAAAATCAGAATATGTAATTCATTTATTACCTTGCATTAAAATAAGGGTGAGTGTATTCGTACGTAAGTGTGAATAGACAATACTTAATTATAGTCTATTCGCACATTTAAAAATAAAATTTAGACTTTTTATATGAAATCTCTAGCAAATAAAAAATGTTTAAAACTTAAGTTATATATTTTGATAGCAATTTAATTTTTTTAATCAATTATTATAAAAATAAATAAAATTACTTAAACATAATTAAATTTTTATTCAAATAACAAACAAAATTATTCCAATAGGTAACATAAACATTAAGAAATACTTCTTTTTTTTAATTAAAAAATTGCTTGCCCAAGCCAAAACCCTCATCATTTTATTTATACTACACTGTGCCTATCCCTAAATAAGCAGTCAATACGTATATACACTACGGGGTGTATATACTTTAAAGGTCAGCTAACGGAAGTACTGCGTTAGTAAACCACTGCGCTAGTTTAATTTTAAAGTTAAAAGTCAATAATAATCTAATATTTTTAAATTCCCTTTAAATTCGATTATCCTTGCCTTTTTTTAATTAAACGTGTGAATAGACTATAATTAAATATAGTCTATTCGCACGTGAAAAACTTGCGAATAGACACTTAATATAAACAAAACTTTTTTGTTTTTTTGTTTAGTGATAATATGAAAATTAGGGCTTATTCCACAAAATAAACAAATTCCCAGCACCAAACTACAAACTAATGCCCGCTTGCGCTGCGCTAAAGAATAAGTTAATAAAAAATATTCCAAAATAACCAACAATGAAAATATTTAAGACAAAACGTACTTTACAAAAAGCTGTAAGCTGTGCAACTATAGATTAAAAGCTGCAAGCTATGCAATTAAAATTATAAATAATAAAAATAAAAAGATAGATTCAAGCATGCTGAGCCACTTTTAAAAAGTTTGAATACATTAAATGTATATCAAACCAATATATTCCAAAATTCGTTATTTATGCTCAAATATAAACTTGGACTTGTACCTTCTTACTTTTAAAAAAATTTATTCCAAAATAGCAAAAACAGATACCATTACAGAGTAACGGGAAACTTCAACCTTCCTTTAAAAAACTAATCTATTGTTGATTTTGTATTATTATTTGCATATATATATATATATATATATATATATATATATATATATATATATATATATATATATATATATATATATATATATATATATTATATATATATATATATATATATATATATATATATATATATATATATATATATATATATATATATATATATATATATATATATATATATATTCTAAAATACATTTTAACGCTAAATTTTAATTAAATTAAAATTTATTTAGTTATGAGTCCAGCAGGGCCGCACTATGCGTCGCTCTAATAAAAATGAGGAAATAGGCTTATAAATAGAGAACCATTCAACATATTGAGTAGAAATTTTCACAAAACATCGAATTTTTGTTTATATTTCTATATTTAAAAGAAAAATATCCGGCTTTTATAAAAAAACAGTTTACTGTATTTTTTTTTGGTTCATCCGAGCTAATTACTGATTAATCCGGAAATTAACATAAGTCCGGATATTTTTATTCAAAAAAAAAATAGGCGTCGATATTTTATTGAATTTTACAAACTATATTATTTACACGATTTAATAATGAACAATTTCATTTAATATAAACTTATTAAAATTATAAACAAGTCAGTTATCATCTGATTCTTAGTTTCTTGCAAAGTTTCTCAACGTTCTAATACATGTTTTTACTTGTGTCTTTGAAAATAGTTTTTTTTTTTTTTTTTAATTCAACGCAGAACAGCTTAAAATTTGTCAAATTATTTTAGAACAGCTAGTTATAATTTATCAAATTATTTGCTAATTTTTTTTTAAAAACAAAAAACAAAAAATCCTTGAATTGTTATTATAAACTATATTGAGATTTCTTTACCAACAAAAAAAAAAAAGTTAGCAAAAACAGTCAAAACTATTAACATTTAAAATAACACTCAATAGATGTGCATATTAAAATGTCACAAACAAATAATTAGCTGTATCCTTACTGTTTTCTGCCAAACAAGTTTGACAAGCCTTACTAACTTGTGCAGTTTTGTTTTCCTTGTTTCTGGCTTCAATAGTACTCTCAGACAAAGAACCTACTGGAGGATACTTAAAATAACTAATAAAAAAAGCATCATGAATTATCATTTTATGTACAGATTGTGACATAAGCATGGTTTTTTTTTAGTGTGTTATTAATATACAGTAATAATTGCAAGCAAAAAATTTATATTTTTGATTGAAAATTTATATATCCGTAGTCGTTCATATCGATGAGTTAGTCTCGAAACAACTTATTTATTCTAATTCATGTGGTCTTCGTGGTACACTATAAATTATAAAAAAATACATTTAAGCATATACAACACCAACAAAAATGTCAAACTTAAAAGTGTTTTTGTGAAACATAGTAAAAACAATTTGTGCGTATCCTTCTTGTATGTCCTAATCTTTATTTGAGAATCTTTTTCTAATTTTTTATATACCATTTGTTATTATTAAAAATGTTATTTATTGTGCATTATAATAATTATATATATATATATATAAATATATATATATATATATATATATATATATATATATATATATATATATATATATATATATATATATATATATATATATATATATAAAATATGTAAATTGATTTTAATAGAAAAGCAGCATATATATATATATATATATATATATATATATATATATATATATATATATATATATATATATATATATATATATATAATATGTAAATTGATTTTAATAGAAAAGCAGCATATATATATATATATATATATATATATATATATATATATATATATATATATATATATATATATATATATATATATATATATATATATATATATATATATATATATATATATATAATATGTAAATTGATTTTAATAAAAAGGCAGCATATATATATATATATATATATATATATATATATATATATATATATATATATATATATATATATATATATATATATATATATATATATATATATATAAAGCTGTCACAGGAATGATCCATCAAATACTAAGTCGAGAAAAAAATTTTTTCAGGATCTTCTGAACTGATTTTGGATTAGTAGAAATCCTGAAGAACTGATTGATAAGATCAGAAATGATAAGAAGAGGACTTATGGAGCTAAAGAGGAAGATATTGCTTTCATCTAGGATCAGCTGAAAGAACGGAAAAGAATAATTGGAACAAAAGATAAAAAGTTTTCATATGCCGTTGAAAGATCACAGAAGAATCATTTGACTACCAGGAATAGTAAAGGAAACACTGCAAATAATCTTAACATTTCACACAGGTTTGCAAGTAGTCATGATAGTAATTCTGATTCAGACTTTGAAGCAGATATCAACAAAGAAGAGGCTGGCTCCTTGATTTTCCTTCCAAAAGATATTCTACAGAAAACAACACTTACTGCTATAGAAGAAGGGCTGTATGCTAGACAACATACTGCAACTGTGTCCAGTATCATTACAAACTCTGGAGGTTCTGTGGCAAATTTTGTTGTGTCTAGCGCAACATCATTTAGAGCTGTAGAAGAAGTTTTGATCAAAGAAACAGAAAACATTAGAAAACAAATTTCTACTCTTGCGCAGTCATCAGTATCGCTTATAATTCGGCATTATGATAGCAAGATTGTTAAAGAATTCACAGATGGGAAAGAATTGCAATATCACAGACTTGCTGTATTAATTAGGATAAATGGAAAGACAGAGCTACTTAGTACTCCACCTCTAACTTTAAGTGCAGGAGAGGATCAGAAAACTGCAATCATGGAACTTCTTAGCCAATTTGAAAATACGAACAAGTTTCACGGATGTGTTTTTGATACAACTAATTCTAACACTGGTAAACAGAAAGGAGAATGCATTAAACTAGCTAAAGAAGTTGACAGGCCTTTGCTTCTATTAGCATGCAGACATCATGTGTATGAAAGACACATTGTTTATTGTTAGAACATCTATCCCAGTAGTAACACAAATGGACCAGACAATCCTCTTTTTAAAAAGCTTAAGCTTCTTTGGAACTCTTTGGATCATGATTCTACTGTACTAAAAAGAATCAAGGTTGAGGATATTATTGACAACTGGTTGCAAGAAAGCTTTGAAGATCTTTGTAAACGTTATAAAGAATGTAAAGATGAAGAAGGTCAGTACTTTAAATTATCAAGTTAATTTTAATGTTGTTTAAAGTAGTTTAAACAGCTTTCAAATATATAAAAGTCCATTATCCCGTAAATCGCAGCTTAGAATAATAACAACTTATTTAATTTGTATAGCTCCTGGCGCTTTGCACAATAAACAAATGATTAATATCAGATATTAAAATAAAAAATGTAAAGAATAAATCTTAATTTTTTATGGCTTTTTTAAATGTTGCAAAATATCAAAATGCAATGTAAATATTCAATTTTGATTAATTGCTTATTATAAAAATAAGTACTTATGTTTAGAATGGATGCAGGTGTGATTATCTTGAGTTAGCCGAACTCACAGTAATGTTACTATCTGGAGATGTGCAGTACAGACTCCGAAAACCAGGACCTGTAAGTCATGCTCAGTTTTTAATGAAAGGAATTTACTTTATTAAGATGTTCCTCCTAATGGATAACATTCCCAAACTCAAAGATATGGCTTTCTTCACTACAGTGTTTTACACTGAATGGTTTCTCAGAGCGGAAATTCCAGCATTTGCTCCCTCTCTTTTTTAGTTTAATTTTAGTTCAATTTTTATATTCTTATTATTTAAAACGTAGTAAAGTTTAAAATAAATAAATTGAATTTTAAAATGAATAAAAGTTATTCTTTTTAGTATTTTGCTATCTAAAGGTTATTTCTTAGGATATGAAAGCACTGTGGCAGATCATAAGATACTATGATGTCAAACCTGAGCTGGCAAAACCTGCTATTGACTCAATGAAGAGACACACCTGGTATATTGATCCTACCGCTGTTTTAATGGCTTTAGCTGATGAAGAGGTTCATGACCGTGACAAGATTGCCAAGAAGCTGTATTCCATGTCAAGGCCTGAGAATTATGTTGTACACAGACAACAGGTAGATTTTGAATTGTCGAAGAATCTGGATTTTTGTCAGGATAATCCTCCTAGCTTGGTTTCACTGATAAATGAACAAGGTGGGTTAATATTTCATCTCTTGAACCAGGGAAGGCAGAGTTACAGTGGTTAAAAACCCCAGTTGAGACATGGAACCTGAATGATTATTATATGGAGTTTAAACAATTTAAGATTTAGTGAAAATCCTTTTTTTTATCCCTGAAAATCCCGCACTTATAAAAGCAAATTTGAAAAAAATTTGCAATAAACATTTTTTTATTAATTAATGCTAACTTGTTTTTGTTAAAAAATGTTTAAAATTTTAAAATTGAATTTTTTTATTAGAAAAGTAAGCAAAATCCCATTTCCGCTTCGCAACGCATAGTGAGCCGGCGCAAGGGCCATGCAAATTAAGCGGTTGCATAGGGCGTCGCACTGACGTAGAAAATTTTTTTTTGCTTTTTTTTTTTTAAATCATAATTTTCATTAAAAGAATATAATCTTTAATAAAATTTTTGGTGGTCTCATTGTGTGCAAGTACTGAGTTGTTAACATAAGGGCGGTAAAGTTTATATTCTAGACTTTTAGTTTTGTACATTTTTGCGCAAAAATGTACAAAACTAAAAGTCTAGAACATAAACTTTACCGCCCTTATGTTAACAACTCAGTACTTGCACACAATGAGACCACCAAAAATTTTATTAAAGATTATATTCTTTTAATGAAAATTATGATTTAAAAAAAAAAAGCAAAAAAAAAAGTGCATGCACTTCAATGAAAAAATAATAAGACCGAATAGTAGTAGTTATTTATTTTCAAGCTTAAAAAAGCGTATAGCAAAATGCAAGGGAGGAGGAAGGGGAGAATCGAAATAAAAGTGTACGTTCTTTATGGACAACCCATACTAGTAAGCTAAAAAAATGCTAACCAGCTGGCACACATACGTTGTTAAAACATTAGAACAATGTCGCGCGTTTCGTTGGCACAACATCGGCTGCCAACGTTATTTTTATTTTTTACAAATGCGACATCGCCAACAACTAAAAATGTTGGAATAGAAGGACAATTTGTCAAATTTGTAATTTATTTTTTTTTAATCTTAAACTTGATTTAGAGTTGTCGACAAATTTCAAATTTCATTCAATAATCTCTTGTTGATCGGCTTTTATGACCTTATAAATTTTACAGCCCCTTCAATTAGAGTGGGTGTAAACTTTTTAAGGTCATAAAAGCCGAACAACAAGAGATTATTGAAATAAATTTGAGTTTCGTCAATGAATATAAATTAAGTTTAAGATTAAAAAAATATACAAATTTGACTAATTATCATCCTATCCCAGCTAGCACACATACGTTATTAAAACATTAGAACAATGTCGCGCGTTTCGTTGGCCCAGCATCGGCTGCCAACGTTGTTTTTATATCATTATGTTTACAAATGCGACGTCGCCAACGCCTACAAACCAATATTGATAAAACTTTTATTTAAAGTCTGAAAACGCTTATATTTTCTACGTCGATCCAACGTTTTATTTTATACATTGGCCAAACGTTGTATTTTAAGTTGGCTCAACGTTGTATATACGTTAATTTAACGTTGAACTTTAATTCGCAAAATTTGTATTGAATATTATTCAAAATTAAATTTTCATTTAATTATATTTTTTTATTTAAGGTTTTGTGGTTTATCCTCCGCCAGCTAATAGCCATGTGGAAGCCACATTAAATCGGTCCGCAGAGACTTGTTTTGGCTCCCAAGGAAGCGTCATAACCCGCTCGACGGAATAAGAGTAAGGTGAGTTTGGGAAGAACGAAGATATGTTAGAGTGAAAGGCAGAAGTAATTGTGTTAGAAAGATAGCATAGAGACAGGGGACAGAATTAATCAAGATGCTAGAAGGTGCAATAGTGCTATTAGTCGAACCGACAAATCTTGGAGAGTTCTTTTTCAACTTTTGTCGTTTTTCTTTACTTAATTTGATATAATACTTTAGTAATGTTATAGTATAAATGAGGTTATTAGAATATCTTAATATTATAAAAATCATGTTTGTGTTGATTGTGGTTTGATACTTTAACAATCACGGAAGATTTTATTAAAGTTATATAATTTCGGAATAGCAATGTTTGGTCGCATCAATGTCGAGATATATACATTGGATCAACGTTGGGTTTAGATCGTAAAAACAATCAAATATTTTCGATGTTTTTACATACATTGGACCAATGTAAATTTTCCAGATATTTTTAGTTCCGTCAGTAATAATTTTATCATTAACCAAATGACATTGTATAAACGTTGGTTTTGCATTGAAAAAAGAGCCGACGTTCGCGATGATTTTACATACGTTGGCCCAATGTAAGTGTGCTAGCCGGGTAGGAGCCAAAGACGTTAGGAGAAAATTCACAGTCTCAAGATTTAAAAGCCATTCCTGATGAATAAACTGAAGCTTTTTCTTTATAAGAACTTGTAGTTCGCTCTATCCATGCAGTTTCAGGAGAATAAGTAAAGGTAAGGGAACATTTTCTTGGATTTGTTCATGTCTCAGACATTTGGGCAAGGGTTTACAGCTCGCTTGTAAGACAAGCTTTTTAAAATAGGAATATCCTTACAGAAAATGCGTGTCCAAGGTTAAGATAATTAAATAAACGTAAAGGAAAGAATCTAGTAATGTTTATGACGCTGTCTGCGAATCCACGTTAGATTCCAAGATTGATGCTTTTGGAAAATGTATCGCTATGGGAATGGTCAAGAAAATTATAATGGGAATGGTCAAGAAAATTATAATGGGAATGGTCAAGAAAATTATAATGGGGATGGTCAAGAAAATTACAAATTTCAAATTACTCTACTGGTCATTTGGTATGATGTTTAAATTTAATTTAGTAAGCAAAACACTTAAGGCGAAAATTATTAATCTGCAGAGCGCTTTGGAACTAATTGAAAACTTGGAGACTCTTTTGGAGAATGTGAGATTAGATTATAGACTGTATAATGTTTCTAAAGATGCAATGGAACTGGCCAAAAATAAAAATAAAAATCGATCCAGAGTTCTCTGATGAATTTGTGGTCAGGCATAAAAAAATAAAAGTTCATTTTTATGAAGCTAAAAATGAACCTGAGAAGTCAACAAATTAAATTTCTTTTTTGTAGTTTTAGACACCGCAATCTAGTCTTTGTCAGAAAGGTTTAAACAAATGGAAAGTCACAACAAATTTTAAAATTGCCCTACAACATGCTATTCACGTATAAAAAAAAATTGAAACAGATGTAATTTAAGAAAAGTGCAAAAACCAGCATTCCGCTTTGACAGCTGATGGCAAGAGTAACGTCAATAGGAATGAACTGTTTGATGAAATTTTAATCTTAGCTTCAATGTTGACAAATATTTACTGTATTTTACATAAAATTGACTAGAGAATTGTAAGCGCCATAAGATACATTTTTGATTAAAGAAATAAACAAATACATACTATATAGTTTATGTTGTTGTTCAATTGCTAAAATGGTCATTTACATAGACGGTCGCAAGGGTCAATCAAAGATGATTTTTATAATTTTTAATTTAGAAAAACTAGTTTCTCTACTAGCCAATAATACTGAAAGGGTAAGCAAAATTCTCAATGCTAGATACCATTAAGAATGATGTCAATCAAATGGTTTTTTCTAATATAAGACAATATATAATGTTGTTTAAGGGTAGCTATCGTAAAACCCCTATAATACAGTAAAAACATAATTATATTTTTATTGTATTTTAGGGGTTCTAATAAATATACGCAGTTTACCAAAACACATTATACGATAAGTTAATAATAAACATACCATTAATCTTGATCTTTTCATAATTACGGTCGTGAAAAGTTATTAATTTATTTTTATGTAACCAACTTTACTAATATATTTGATTGCTCATGTAAATTTTTAAGAAATAATCACATTAATGTTACTAATTCAATTATTTAAAAACGGGTCAGGGTTAGAACATCAGCTTTTGCTATGTCTAACATTTGTAAATATCATGATGTATAACTACATCTGTCAATAACATCTGTAAATACACTGAGGTATAATAACATCTGTCCAACAACTGAAATTTCATTGATGTCTTATAACATCTGTGTGAAAAGTATATGATTACTACAAATGCAGTTACATCTTTTTAACTAAGTATAAAAACATCTGTGCAACTACATTTGGAAATTTTACAGATGTAGCAACATCTTTTCAATTATGCTAAAAACAACTACACCTGTATCAATTATGTTAAGAATAACTCCATCTATACAACAACATCTGCAAGTTCTACAGATGTAGATACATCTTTTTAATTAAATTAAATAAACTACAGGATTTTATAAATTTATAAATTATAGTGCATTATTTTAACCAGATGTTACATATATGGTCATTTTCAGATGTAGTTACATCCGGAAAAATTATTAAATAGTAATAGTTTTTTTTTAGTTTAAACATCTTCACTTCCAACAAGGCTGCAAGCAACCACTAATTAGTGTTGGAAGTTACTGGAAAAGAAAAGAGTTGGAAAGTTGACTATTTGAGTTAGGGTTTGAGAAAGACAAAAGTTGTGGGCCTTAATACCTGCAGAGTCACTGACACTAGAGCCAAGTCATTCAGTGTGATGAACATTAAAGTCACCGACAACAACAATATTGGCTGATGGATAAAGAATGAGGGCTTGGTCAATATGATCAGAAATAACATCAAAAAGAGTGCAGTCTTGAGATGAAGGAGAGCAATAGAGAACAAAGAGAAAGGTGATAGAGTAAAGTGGTGCTAAATAAAAGCACATAAAAGAGTAGTCTGTGGATTCAAACCTAGTTTCCTAACAAATGGGTGAACTCTTTCGAATGTAAATGCCCAGGCCAAGGATGTACTATTGGAGTCTTTACGATTGGACCTTTCTCCATAAAGCAATGCAAAATGGTATTTGTATGTACAGAAAAACCAAAAGCGAACAGAAAGATTAGGTAAGAAAACATTAAACAGTAACACGCCACGCAGTAAAATGAGAAACATGACCCAAGGTTTGAATGGCGCCCTGAAATCAAAAGAGCACTTCTGTTTCATTATGTTTTATGTGATACCTTACGCAAGACGTTTTCAGCAACCAAATCAGACAGAGAAAGAATTGTCATCGCAAAAATAGTTACTAATATCTAAACTGACGAAGAAGTATAAACTAAGAAAAATATTTCAAGATTTTAATGGTATTAGTACACGCCGTTTATCAAGATCAAGTTGCTCACAGTATCGTGCAAGATATAAGTTTACAGTGTTTCGTTATGCATTTGTTGCATTCTATGAAAGAGATGATAATAATAGGATAACTACCAGCAAATCAGACACTATCATGCGTAAAGATGAAAAAAAAACAACAAAGACTTTTGCTAAGCAGGGGCGGATCCAAATCATCTCGTAAGGAGGGGGAGGGCGATTTCATTTATGCATGCCGAGCGGGAAGCGAGACTCTGCTGGGGGGTTTGGAGCTGGGGGTCGGCAGGGCCCCCATAAATTAGGGGTCTGCCGTCTCCCAACACCAATTTTATTTTAGTTTGTACTAACAAAGAAGAAAATCTAGGTATGTTTTATATAATGTATCCATGTAATGCTATAAAATTATTTTTTGGGTTGAGCTTGTACAAACGATCATAGATATCAAAATCAGATTCACAAGGCATCGACAAAATATTGGTTCGGATACCAATTATGATATGATATTAATAATAATTAATGCTATAAACTTGAAATAAAATTTAAATAAATGCTAATATAAAAACACTCCAACACTTACCATCAGTTAAATTTATATCGGAAATTGAACTATGGTAGAGCAAATGCTTGAGAATGAACATGGAAGGAGGAGTCAAATCATAACCTACTGAACTTTCTAATATTTTTGACTTGTGTGACCAGGTGCAATATCCAATTAGTCACAAATTGTTACAAATTATTAAAACATATCCTGTTAGTGTTACCAGTGTTAATGTTTTAATAAAGAGCAGAAAAAAATAAATTACTATTGTGGGGGGGGGGGGGCAACACCCCCATCACCCCCTTATGGATCCGCCACTGTTGCTAAGTACCCTTTCAGATCTGCACAAAATGTTTGCTCTAGAAAACCCAAACATAAAAAGTTTCATATGCTACATTTTGTGCTTGTAGACCATTTTGGGTGGTAATTCCGACTGCACGTGACAGAGAAACGTGCCTCTGCAAGTTGTATGAAAATAGACGACTTATTATTAACAAGCTTGCTCAGCTGAAAATCTTGCCGTCAAATTGTATGACTGTTGGTAATTGTGTAAAAAAATAGTATGCAATAATTTGCAAAAAGAGTGCTTTTTGAGAACCTGTGAAACATGTTGCTTAAAAGATAAAGAATTACTGGAAAGAGAGTTTGGTGGAGAACAACTATGCAATTGGCAGCAATGGAACACAGTTCGGGAAAACAGACTGATCAAAGGTAAGAACACAATAGTAAAGAGAACTATAAAACAGGAAATTAACGGGACTGTTAGAGAGCTTATAGGAGCATACTTGGAAACTATTCCGTCATTATGTCTTCACGTATTCACTATTAGCCACTAGTTTAAAAACTTTTGCATACTGAAGTCTAATCTTTCGGATAGCACGACAGTAATAGTTGTTGATTATCAGAAAACTATATGTGTAAGTTGGAGAGAGCCGTACAGTCATCGCACTTTGGTACATCCAACAATCAATTATTCCTACACACCGGTGTGCGAGTTTACAAACCCACTATAAGCACAGAATAGCCATTAAAATTGGCCAATCTGATTCGCTTATTTTGAAAGAGAGGCAAATCCGCAAAATTGGAATATAAGAAAAATATTCGGCGTTAAACATAAAAATAAAGAAAAATAGTTCGATTTTGTTTACTTTTTGCTCATTAGTTTGTGTTTATTTATTTAAAATTGTTAATAGATTTTGTATTTATTTATTAAAAATTGGACTCCGTTGCTTACTATTTTATTTAATTCAGAAGTAGTTTATGATAATAAAACTGTTTATCAGAGGAGAAAGCTAATCAACACTTAGAAAGAGTATCGAAATAAAAATGCACACTAGGTACAACTTACAAAATATACAACTTAGTTAATGTTCAATGCATAAGAGTTTGCTGTACCCAGTAGATTTGATTTACATTTAACTTTTATGCTTTTAACCAGCTTGTATGTGTTATTTCTCCTTACTCTAGCTGCATTTATATTACATTGATATAACAGTATCATAATAAAATAGTCATAACTGAAAAAAAAAATTAATTTGTAAACTGCATTTATGCAGTTTACAATCATAATCAAGACACCATATATTAAAAAAAAAAACAGATTGAAGATGATGTCATTTAGGTAAAAAAACATAAATTAATGCAAAGACTATTTAGTTGGAAGAGTAAAAGTAAGCAACTCAGGAAAAGGGGAATAAAAACTCACACTCTAGTCATCTTTTAATAAATGATGAAATAATGATCTATGAGTAAACAAGTCAATAAAAATCCGCTGGTTTATAATGGTATTCATAACTAAAATAATCGCACCATACAAGTGTCTAATAAATGTGGTACTATATATGTTCTAAACTCTAGATAAAAAATTGATAACTGATAATCACCTGTGTAACATAAAAAATATATATAAATGTCGTAAATGTACCAAATTCATAATAAAAAGCTCATAAAGCGCAAAAATACATGGGTTTAAGAGGTAAAAAAATGTTGGTGCCATAATAACCAATTAGAATTAAGTAGTGGATAAATGGTGATCCCCCTCCTCAGGAATGCACTGCGATCACCAATGACGTTTCGGAGAGCCCGAGACCTGCACTAACGCCACTCGTCAGGGGCGTGTCCTTGCAACAGATCTCACCGCCTGCACTTGATTAAAATTAATTTGTAAACTGCATTTCGATGTAATAGGTGGAGCGCACGGAAAATTAATTTTAAAAAATTTATGTATTGCAGCCATGTGTTTACAGAATCCACCTTGCCTACCACTAGGACATGAACAGTAGCCAACGTCACTATTGACTGTATATTCGACATTTGAATTTTTAAAACTAGGTACAATGTAAGTGTTCCTCTCCAACAATTTAATAGAACTAATGTTTATTTTTTCAGATTTTTGACATAATTTGTTGTAGAATATTTCATAGGCAGAGCAACGATTATATGCAGTATTCAGAAGACGGTTGCTATAATATCTGTCCCAAACATTGACAGTATAGTCTACAAGTGCTGCAACATTGAATGCTTTTGTTCTACATAAAACAATATTTTTAAGGATTCTTATTGTTGCTTCACTAAAATTATTTGTATTGTGGTTTCGAATAATTAAGTCTTTTCTATATAACATGACAAATTCAAACTTCCTCTTGTTATAGTATTTTTTAACCCTAATATAAAACTTTGGGTGCGTTAATTTTATGCTTTTTAATTGGTGCAACGATAAGTCAAGTTTTTCGCTTGTATCAGCATACATAATCTAGAAAACAAACTTGTAGATAATTGCACTTGAAATTCCATATAAATAACTTTCATTTCAAAAAATAGTAAACGAATTAAGAATTACTATATAATTAAGTGGTTATAAATCTATTTTTATATGTAACTTAAATACATTTTTAAACAAATGGTAAAGTTTTTGACGATCAGTTTTTGCAGCTTTTTTAAGCAACCAACGCCATTGAGCTTGTAATACATGAAAATAACATAATAACATTGTTGCTGTTGGCCATACAGAACTTAGTGCATTTTTTTCTTTACTTGAGTCATCCAGCATAAAAACTTGGGGCTCCTACAAAAAAATAGTTAAAATACAATGTAAAACATTTAACTAATAGAAATTCCGATTTAAATTAGGTATTGTGGCACTTGTAAACATTTAAGTTTAAAACCTTATCTAGATCTTTATATGTTTAAAGTTCAGCCCTTATGTAGATCAGTGTTTGATAAAGTTCAGAAAACCTTTAGCCAAAATATATTTTCAAGAGTTATTGAAATGCTGCTTAGTTAATTAGGAATTGCTGTTTAGTTAATTAGGAAAGAGCTTGCATTTGATTTTGAAGTGATCATCCATGTTATATTTTAAAAACTCGGAAAACAGTGCATAAAACATCCGGTATATAATTTCCTAATTTTCCTTTTAACTTAGCTTTTAATGTGTGACAACTTTAAATCCAGACAAATTTAACAAAAGAATGTCTTGTCTAACGGAGTTATCAATCTTATTAATTTAGAAAGCATAATAACAGGTGAGGTTATCAAATTATAAAACATTGTTAGACATATCAAAGTTTGTCAGGATTTTTTGTTGTCTCATCTTAGCTGGTGGGTTTCTTCATTTTTCTGAAATTTTTCTTAATTTTTGTATGGATTTTCTTAATTTTTGTATGGATTTTCTTAATTTTTGTATGACTGCAAAAGTTAATAAACAAATATATTACAAAAATTTATACTTTAAATTAAAACATTTTGGAAATCCAAAAAAACTAAAACTTGAGAAAAATATCCGGAATTTTAGAAATAACCCGAAAAAGGTAATTCCTGACTTTGTAATACAAAGATATCAAATTGTATATATAAAAGAAGGTATATATGTTAACCATTTCATGTATAGAGATAAAAGAAAAAAAGATAAAGTTAGGCTATTATATAATATTATTATATTATACATATGCATACATAGAATATACTTATAAAACTTTAAATTACCTCAGATCCTCCAAAACATCTTGGGCATTCTAATTTAAGAAGTTTGAATGCTTGCTCATAATTCTCTTCAGTTTTATTAGCATGAAATAGAATAGCAATAGGGATACATCCTGCGGAACTTGATGTAGACACAATTGTAACATTTGTTTGTGAGATATCACAAGATGAGGTAGTATCTACAAACACAATTTCGGAAGAAGATTTTCTTAGTTGATTCCTTTGCATCACTTCAGTGACCACTAGTACAGACCATTTTAGATCTTCTTCAATAACTGTCACCAACGCTCCTAAATTAAAAAACACTGAAAACTGCCAAAAAATCTGGCAAGATATAAACCACCAATTGATAAAACGATATGGGCCAGTTCATTATACTTTAGCCAGTGGCCTGTGGGACACCAAAAAATAAAAAAAATTATAAAAAATAGCGAATAAGTGAAGTTAGCTGAAGAACTTTTCTATTAACCAACAAGGTCTTACAGGTTACTTTACTGATTAGTTATTACTATCAGCAATACATGGGAAAATTACAGAAAGCTTGTTACATAAAAGAACTCAAATGTGTCTATAAACATATTATTCATTTTCCAAAATGCCCAACTAAAATGGCAGCATTTTTTAATAACCCTATTTTCTTACCTATATGAGTTAAATGTATTATTTAACTCATATAGGTAAGAAAAATTTAAAATGTAAAATTTATTGGAAAACAATGCCCCTCTAACATTGAAGGGGTGAACTTGATTTTGTCATTTAATAATAATAAAAAAGATATGGTTGGTTGCCCCCTCCCTGATCTAGTCTTTATGGCTTTTTGCAAATGTATCTATTTAGGTGCTTCTAGCACAAAATAACTGTTTTTTAATACTTTTCTGTTAAAAGAACTTTGTTATTGCTTTTTTTTCAGTTTTATTCATTATATTACCTTTTATTTGTTGGATCTACTCTATACACAAAATTATATAGGAGAAATAGCTTAAATAAATGTCCCACAAAATTTTCTTTAAATTGGTTGAAATATAACGAGCTTACACATATCTGACTTTGTTATATATTTTTTTGTAATATATAAAAATACATGTCAACTCAAAGTAGAATTTGGCAGCAAACCTTCTCAATATAAACTAGGTTTTTTATTTATCATTTATCAATCTTATTTTCAAAATAAATCATTTAAATAAATTATTTTAAAATAAACTGATTATTGTTGTTAATCTCATTTTTACCTGATTCTAAGTATACATTTCTTTTATTCTTTAACATCTCTAAAGGATTTTTAAGAGCAAAATGTTTTTCTTGCCATAAATTGTATAAATAATAAATTGTACGTGATGAAGGATTAAGTGAGGCATCTGCCAAAAGAAAGGAGCCATTTTCATGATAAATAAAGTTATCTGTGTGTATACGTTTTGCTTGAGCTGGACTTAATCCACTGTTAAAATAGTTATAAAAAAGTTTTTTTGTAACTGATGACACTGGTAAGTATTTCATTGAATCTGCACATTCAATGTTATGGTTATGGTTTTTATGAACTACTATAACTCCACTAAGGGGAGGTTCTTCTTTTAGATATTGATCATTTTTCTTAGTATTTGCATTTACTTTTTTGATTTTGATATCAATTTCAGCTACACAGTATGTGTTTTTCCTTGATTTAATTTCTTTATTTAGTTTTGAATGTTGACATTGATATTTTCTATGTGCCACAAGCCTAAATAAAATACATTTGCAAGATATATATTACTGTTAGTTAATGCTTATATTATTATTTATTAGCCCTCAAGACCTATAAAACCTGACTCACTATTGATTGTGATATGAAAAAAATATATAATAGCTTAGTAAAGAAGCTAAGGGGGTTCCTAACAGACAAAGAAAAGAAAATACAAAAACTAGCAATAACATAATAATACAAATAACAACAATACATACCCATTTCGTAATGTTACCAAAAAAAAAAAATTTATTCTAACCCTAACTGTGTTGCTAACCCTAAATTTTTCTTAAACTGTTAGTTTAAATTTCAAATCATAAAAATTTACTAAATTAAGATAATATCTTAACATTAAACAAACTAAACTTGTGATATAGGCTAGAACACCAAGGCAAATCTAAAGAAATGAAACAACAATAATAAAAAGTAGACATGCTTATAAGATAATACCACCATTTTGGGATGATAATGGTAAAACTTAAGGAATGAAATGATAAAAATGGAGAAAAATATAAAAATTTAAATTTGCAAACAAAACAAAAACTAATACAAAATACATAATCCTTATATAACTAAAAATATTAAATTTTTTTTATTTAAATAGCTTCAATTTATTTTAATCAAACCTTGTTTGTATTAAAGAAAGCCAAATAACCCCAAATCACTTTATTCAAATAAACCCCAAATCACTTTATTTAAAACCACAAATATTTAAAAGTTTATTTTCTGAGGTAACAAGGAAACATTGCTTTAACAAACTTATTATATGCCAATGTTATATTTCAAGACATTGTGTTAAATAGTCATGACAAATTTAAAACATCAGCAAATGACTTATAATGGTCTGTACTTTTAATAGTATAACAAAATAGAAAAAATGATACCAGAAAACAAAATATCTCTTACTTCAATCAAGTAGAAATCCAATTATTTCCTGTTGACTAATGATTAATAAAGTAAATTTTAAATCATAAAAATTTACATAATTAAACCATGTTCCAACAGTAGAAAAACCAAAATTACAGAACTAAAAAAATGAAATAAAAAAATAACAATAATGGGTATAATACATCATTGTTTGTGTGAAATTTTTAAAATGATGTTCCTTGAAATGAATGTTATTTAAATTTAAAAAACAATATATTAAACTACCTTGAACACAGGACATAAAATTTGCCATGTAAGAAGCACATTTTTTTTTTGAGATAAACATTATCAACTGTTTGATCTTGAATTTAATTTATGGTCATTAAGTGTGCTAAACTGACAACATTTTAGCGTAAAGTTTGCTCAACTGTAACCAAGGAATAAATACCCTTATACAACTTGTAGTATGTGCGTGTTTAAATTATATATATATATATATATATATATATATATATATATATATATATATATATATATATATATATATATATATATATATATATATATATTAAATATATATAAATTATGTTAGTGTATTCTACAAGAGAGCTCAACGTTGTTAAAGAACAGAGTAAAAATAAATAAGTAAAAACACTTATCTAATTTTTTTTCCTTATATATATATAAATATATATATTTAATATATATATCTATGATATTTATATTAAATATATGTATCATATTTCGTAGTAAAAGATAAAATTGGTTAAAAATCCAACCTTGTAGGTTCATTCAGCTTGTATGACTTTAGCCATCTAGTGTGCGTTTTATGTCCATATTCTTCTACCCATTGGTTCGCTTCATCTTCTGATTTAATTGATGCTCGCATATGAATAACATTTTTATCTTCAAAAATTAACTTTGAATTAAATAAAATAGGGAATGTTGAATTCATTTTTTTTAGAATCACTACCGCTGTTGTTATTAAGCAAGGTTTATAATTTTTTTTTATTGCGCGAAAGTTTAAATTCCAATTTTGCAGATTTGCCTCTCTTTCAAAATAAGCGAATCAGATTGGCCAGTTTTGATGGCTATTCTGTGCTTATAGTGGGTTTGTAAAGTCGCCACCGGTGTTGCATACTTGAAGGAAGAAGTTGTATCAATTTGCACAGTGCCAAATTGCACCAAGCATGAGCCCGCTGCAATATGGGCTCATTTGCTGCCAGTTCTGCGTCATCTAAAAGAACATCATGCAACACTTACAACAATATTTTTTTTTTTTTAGGTTATTTAGGTGCTCCCAGAAGTCCTTACGGTCTTATCAAGGGGCACCGCGGGATACATATACATTTTTGGAGTGATGGACCAACAACACAATATAGGAACAAGCATAACATGCTGTTAACTGGTCATTATTTGTACGATGAAAGATTTACAGGTTGCAGCTGGAAATACTTTGAAGTTGGTCATGGCAAGAGCGCAACAAATGCGATAAGAGGCGTTCTAAAACGTACCGCTGATCAAATAGCCAACCATGGTGTCATAATAACTTCAGCTTCAAATTTTGTAGAAGCCAGGAAGACTTTTGTAGAAGCCAGGAAGACACCAGAAGACTGTTATCAAGCTATTTGTAGTCAGCGAAGAAGATATTGGTGCTATAGCTAAAATGACCCCGAAGGAGTGAAACTTATCGCAGGAACAATGAAACTACATCAACTGCAATTCGTTGAGAAGGGAACTGTTTCTGTTTGTAATTTTTCATGCTTTTGCCAGATCCGAACACATGTAATTACCATGAAGCACGTAGGGTTTAGTTTGGTCTACTGAAAGTCGTCGCAAAAAATGAAAATGAACATGTTGCTGAGATTGAATCCGATCTGCTCAATACAGCAACAGATATTGTACAACTAGTTGCAGATGGGCAATCTCAAGTTGTTAGTCAGTCACACGATCTGATAAATGCTGATGGTGCTTCAAATGTTGAACAACATCCAATGACAGCGAACATATTATGCTCGAAGTGCACGACTGTTGTATTGTTCAATACGATAATAAGCGTTACATTTGGCAGATACTTGGCAAAGATGCAGTTTCAGCAAAATGTGAAGTATCTACATTACAAATGACAGGAATAAACAAATTCAAATATCCAACTCGTGAAGACAAAATATGGTATAAATGGGATCAAATAATCAGAAAAAGTTTTACCACTAGTTGTTGTTTCTAGACGTTCAATGGCACTTAGTAAATGTTTTTTTTAATTTGCTTATATCTAAGTCACTGTTTAAGTCATTTGAGAATAATCTTAAACTATCAAATAACGGCCATTTAAATCTGGTCATCATATTTACTTAAAGTTCGTATGTAAAGTTTTTGATAGTTGTCATGAAAATAATACAGTATGAAAAAATAAAAGTGTTTTTTTAATGAATTGTTACCTTTGTCAACTAACTAAACGTAATGATTATAATAGTATAATGCATATATAAAGTAGCGATTTCAATAAGTCCATCATTTAATATTGTTATGTCATGTAAGTAACGCACTGTCATGTACGTAATGCGATTAAAATTTTACTTTCAAAATTAAACTTAAGTAAATAAATTTAAGTTTTGGTAGTTATTTGTGTACTCATAGGAGTAAGTTAAAAACAAAAAAAAATTATTTCTGCTAAATATTTATGCAGTTTATCTTTAGTGAAAGTAGTCTTTTGAAAACGCGCCTAATTTTGGAAATACTCATAACTGATAACCATTTATTTTCCAGTTCAAACCTTCAAACACTACAATCACTTCTCGTTCACCTTCATTTCACTTTCAAAAACTACAATCTTCACCTTTCACTTCACCTTCAAACACTACAATCTTAACACGACAGATGAAAACTCCTTATTGTATTTTCGAACTTTTTTAACAGAAAATATCGATTTGAATGTTATTTTACAATCTTAAGAATTCGAGCATATAAGCTATTTTTAGCGCAGTTCTGTATACAGTATGATATAGCTTTTCCTGTTAAAAAAATAGTTATAAAACCCAAGTCTCTTTTAAACCCCTAGATGACCAAGGAATTAATAAAATTATCAAAGAAAAAACAAAAACTTTATGATAAATATTTAAGACATAAAACATATAAAAAAATGAAATAAACTAAAAAAACTATAAAAACTTATTTGAAAAAAAACAAAAAACACTTTAACAAATTTACTACGCAAAGTTGTTGGAAAAAACTAACGGCGACACTAAAAAAACGTGGAATATAACTAAACAAATAATTGGTAAAAATAAATGTGAATTTATTTTTACCAATTATTTTTTTTAATTGATAGGGAAATGATTTATTATAAAAAAAAAAAAAAAGCTGAAGAACTCAACTTATTTTTTCTCGAAGTAGGGCTGAATTTGGCGAGTAAAATTCCGTCAAATACCACAAAGTTTGAATCTTACATTAAATCATGTATTCCTATTATGGAAGAATCTACTTTAAATCTAAGAGAGGTAAGGAATGCTTTCAACAATCTTAAAAGTAATAAAAGTGCGGGCATTGACGAAACTAGTGTAAATGTTGTTAAGTCAGTTTTCGATATCATTGAACCGTCATTATCTCCGTCATTACCTCATATTTTTGATCTTTTATTAAAACTAGATGTTGTGCCAAAAAAAATTAAAGTTGCTATAATTACTCCCATTTTTAAATCTGGAGACGAAACTAATATTAACAACTACAGACCTATTTCCGTTTATTCCGCATCTCAAAATTATTTGCACAAACTACAGACTTTACAACTATTTGATGTTAAACAGTTTGCTGTACAGTAAACAGGTTGGATTTCAAAAAGTTAATTAAACTAACCATGCTGTAATCGAACTAATTAATCCTGTATCGGATATATTCAACAATGACTATTTTACTCTAGGAGTTTTTATTGATCTGTCGAAAGCCTTTGACACTGACTTTTAACCATAAGATACTTATAAAAAAACTAGAACTGTATGAAATAAAAAATTTTTATTTTGGTTTGAAAACTACCTAGCGAAAAGGTCACAATGTATTGTTTATAATAAAAAAGAAAAAGAAGAACATATTACATGTGGTTTGTCCTATAGTTAAACCTTAGGGCCATTATTATTTTTATTGTAAATAAATGCTTTATACTTAGCATGCATATTTTAAATTTTACATTGTTTTAAGATGACTCCAATCTTTTTTATTCCAACAAAGACATAAAAGCTCTCTTTAACATATTTAATGAAGAGCAATTCAAAATAAACGAGTAGTTTACAAGTAAATAAGCTTTCGTTAAACGTAGAAAAAACTAAATTTATTTTATTTTCCGAACCTAGTAAAGGTTATGATGTTCCTCTATTAACTCTCTTTAACATATTTAATGAAGAGCGATTTAAAATAAACGAGTGCTTTACAAGTAAATAAGCTTTCGTTAAACGTAGAAAAAACTAAATTTATTTTATTTTCCATACTTAGTAAAGGTTATGATGCTCCCCTATTATCTAGGAGTAATAATAAATGAATTTTCTAGGAGTAATAATAAATGAAAATTTGTCATGGAAACCACATATAAAATATATAGAAAATAAAATATCAAGAAATAATTTATTATTATATAAAACTAAACCATATCTTAACACTTCTACTCTAAAAAAAATATACTTTTCATTTATTCATAGTTTTATCTCTTACTGCAGTATTGCATGAGGTAGGACTAATTATGGTAAGTTGAAAAAACTTCATAGTAAGCAAAATATGCATGCAGGATTATATTTGGTGCGCACAGAACTCTTCATTGTGAACCTCTTTTAAGGAAGCTCGGTTCCCTATGTGTCTATAAACTTAATATACACCTAGTTCTACAAATCATGTTTAAAGCTAAACATGTACTCTCTCCAATTGTATTTCAGTCTTACATTTGTGAAATATTGTACAATTATCCTGCTAAATTTTCAATTAATAACTTTATTGTTCCAAAAACTAATTCAAAACTAAATTCTTACAAAATCCAATACCGCGGACCTATGAAAACATTTTTCAAAATTTATCACAAAAAATAATAATGCTCAAAACATCTCTTTGGAAAACTCAGAAAAGAATCTAAGAATCTCTTATTACAAAAAGACTTTGATTAAAAATATCTCTTTTAAAAATAATACATAAATAATATAAATTATCTAAAAAAATAGTTATTGACACTACTTCCCTTTTGTTGCAATTTTAATCTAATTTAAATTTTTGTTAAAAAAATTTAATATTTTTAAATTATTGTTAATCTTGAATTTAATATAATTCCTACTATTTTTAAACCAACAAGAATTACGCAAAAAACTTCTTCTGCCATTGACAGTATTTTAACAAACGACTCTTATAATTCTGATTTTGACTGCTGATTTTTCTGATCATTTCCCCATTTTTCACATTGTACGTGGTATTCTATCTAATAGTGATAATAAAAAATATCTTGTCACTAAAAGAAACCTTACTAAAAAAAATCTCGATAATTTGAAACAATAAACTATTTGAGGAGTCCTGGAAAAATGTATACTCAGGTAAGGATCAAAATCAGACACTTAATAACTTTACGGCTACTTTTAAATGTTTTGATACTGTCCCATAATAACATCTGAAGTAAAAAATAAAGAGATATAAAATCCATGGATGACGAGTAATCTTATAAAATCGTCTAAACGAAAGCAAAAACTTTATATAAAATTTTTGAAATCAAAGGATAAAGGTGATGAAAAAACATACAAAGCCTATAAACAGCTTTTTCAAAAAAATATTAGACAAAAATAATATTATTCTAAACTGCTAAATATAAATAAATTAGACATAAAAAAACATGGTCGATTATAAACGAAGTAACTGGCAGAGAAAAAAAGAAATCCTTTAGCATACCCCAAAAAATATTATTTGATAATAAAAACATTACAAATAAATCAGATA